CAGGTGACTCGGAGAAATGTCACGACAAGGTAAGAGCTGTAGGTGTTACGAGCTTCATGAACGAAAGTGTCGCAATAAAATGAAAAGTGGTTGCTAAAAATGGTTGTTGATGCGACTTCAATAATCAACTTTAACACAAAATATGACAAGAAACACGAAGAATGAAATTGATTCCAATGACTCGCACCCTAGAGTACATCCACACCCAGATGTACAGCACTCACTCCGTACCCCCCTTCCCCCATGAGTACAACCACATCCACATCCACACCCAGATGTACAGCACTCATTCGTACCCTCTTCCCCCAAGAGTACAACCACACCCACATTCCCACTCAGACGCAGACCGCGTCTGCTGCCCTTTGTCCGTCAACTCCTCCACCTGCCCAGCCTCGACTTGCTGTAAAAATAGGACAAAGTATAAAATACAGGAATATGCAAGAGACTTGAGAAGCGAGGAAGATGAGACGACGATCATAAAAAGCAACAGGCATCATCTTTTTTATAATAAAAGATGCCTCCTCATGCCTCCCTGACTTCATTCCTACTCCCCTCTCTCCTCTCTTCCCCCACTCCTCCACCATACGACTCATGAATGCCTCCCTCACCTATAACTATTACCTATGCCTTCCCCCCTCTCTACACTACCCTCACTCTTTCACCCCTAAGCATGTTCCTCATGTGAAGGGGCATGAGGAGCACTTCCTGGGGATGTATGCGTGTGTGTGTGTGTGTGTGTGGTATGGAGAAATATATGCAGTAGACCAAAAATTGAGGGGAAAACTGTAGGTCTGTTAGAAAGGCGGGGTCCAAGAGCTGATAGCTCGATTCTGCAGCCACAAAATAGTAAATACATAATTACACACACACACACACGCCCTGTGTATGTGTGTGTTATATAAGGGGCCTGTAACTGAGTGGACAGCGCTCGGGACTCGTAATCCTTGGGACCGGAGTTCGATCCCCGGCCATTGCGGAAAGAAATGGACAGAGTTTCTTTCACCCTGATGCCCAACAACTTGGGATATACAGTAGAGTGACGATCTCGCTTCATGCAGGTCGGCGTTCAATCCCCGACCCCTCCAGGTGGTTGGACACCATTCCTTCCCCCACGTCCAATTCCAAATTCTTATCATGACCCTTTCCAAATGCTATATACTCGTAATGGCTTGGCGCTTTCTTCTGATAGTACCCTCACCTTGATGCCCCTGTTACCTAGCAGTAAATAGGTACCTGGGAGTTAGACAGCTGTCACGGGCTGCTTCCTGTGTGTGTGTTTGTGTGTGTGTGTGTGTGTGTGTGTGTGTGTGTGTGTGTGTGTGTGTGTGTGTGTGCATTTTTTTTTTATTGATTGACAGTTGAGAGGCGGGCAGAAAGAGCAGAGCTCACCCCCCCCCCGCAAGCACCACTAGGTGAATACACACACACGCACTCCTCGTATTCTCCCCCCCCCCCGCATCTCTACGACACCTACAGTAAACCGTCCCATTATAGTTTACCGTCCTATAATAGTTTACCGTCCCATAATAGTTTACCGTCTTATAATAGTTTACCGTCCTATAATAGTTTCCCGTCCTAAAATAATTTACCGTCCCATAATAGTTTACCGTCCCATAATAGTTTACCGTCCTATAATAGTTTACCGTCCTATAATAATTTACCGTCTTATAATAGTTTCCCGTCCTATAATAATTTACCGTCCCATAATAGTTTACCGTCCCATAATAGTTTACCGTCCCATAATAGTTTACCGTCCCATAATAGTTTACCGTCCCATAATAGTTTACCGTCCTATAATAGTTTACCGTCCTATAATAGTTTATCCTCCTATGATAGTTTTCCGTCCCATAATAGTTCACCGTCTATAATAGTTTACCGTCTATAATAGTTCACCGTCTATAATAGTTCACCGTCTATAATAGTTTACCGTCTATAATAGTTCACCGTCTATAATAGTTTACCGTCTATAATAGTTTACCGTCTATAATAGTTCACCGTCTATAATAGTTTACCGTCTATAATAGTTTACCGTCTATAATAGTTCACCGTCTATAATAGTTTACCGTCCTATAATAGTTTACCGTCTATAATAGTTCACCGTCTATAATAGTTCACCGTCTATAATAGTTTACCGTCCTATAATAGTTTACCGTCTATAATAGGACAAATGATCTCAAAACGGAATCTGTCTGTATGCCCACAATATGACTGCCACTCCCAGTCACCTGATCTACCCTAGCCACACCCTGTAATCTGATTGATGGAGATCAGGAGCATATGCGTTGGAGCGTCACCTGATGGATGACCTGGTTTCCATATACGACATTTTGATCTTACGTGCCTAGCGTGGTAAGACGTGGGAATCTATTTACACTCGATTCACGCCCAAGGTCTTCATTTGTTTAAGCCTTTCTGACACACACCAATTTTAGGACATTTATGATGACCTGATACATGCAGGTTTTAGGGTGTTTTGTACTGGTCTATTGCTCCTAAGTTCAGAACATTCATGGCGATATATACTGCCCCTCCACCACCTCACTTCGGTGAGATGGACTGATTCTGATATTGAATTCAGTGTTGTTCTGGTTCGGTGACTTCGATTCATGGATGTCAACATCATCTGACATCTCTGGTTCTTGTAAGTCTGTTCACCTAAAGTACTAATTGTTCCAGGTATGTGAGTGCAGGTATGATGTTCGTCTTCTCTTAGTGTCACTGGGATAATTGTCTGCTAGAGTAGCATCCATTGGTCGTTGACGCTGGTGTGAGGGAGTTAGTTTATGATCATATTACATGAAAATATTTTGCTTGGTAACTTTTCGCCAAACATACCTATCTACCGCCTTTCCACCCCCCTAAGCCTCTTCTCTCTCCCCTGCCTCCTCCAGTGTCATCCAACTACACCCCCATCCACTCCACTTTCTCTACTCCATCTCCACTCCTCCTACCTTCTACCCACTCCCACTATTCCACCCCCCTAGGCCACCATCGCCACCCCCTTCACCCTCCCTCTTATGACACATTAGTTCCGGCGCAGTAAGCTTTCGATACATTAGTTTCCTTGCATTAAGCTTACGATACATACCCCTTTTCATATGGTACGCTTACTACATATATTACTTCCAGTGTTGTGTTACGAGACACACACACTGCTTTCATTGTCTTGATCTTACGACAAACACACACATCTAAGTGTTACCACTTAAGACAACACACAATGCAATGTAAAAAACAATAACAAAGACCTAGGGATTGTTGTCACACCCTAAGCATACATTGTAGCTGCCTTTCACCAGGATAAACAGAGACGTCCTAAGATTATCATACCTTTCTCCAGGGTGGAGAGAGAGAGAGAGAGAGAGAGAGAGAGAGAGAGAGAGAGAGAGAGAGAGAGAGAGAGAGAGAGAGAGAGAGAGAGAGAGCGAGAGAGAGAGAGAGAGAGAGAGAGGGCCTTCCCAGATCAAATATCATACCGTAACGAGCTGAATAAACCTTCCTTTTGCCAAAGTAAGGACTCTTGAGACTTAGAATATAGACATAGAAGCAATTCCATCCAAGCAACAAACAAGTTAAAAAAGGCACGTGCCAGTCACCTGAAAACATCACATATCACATACATAAAGAAGCATATAATGCTTTCTAAGAAGACTAGGTGATCATTATGAGCCCTACGAGGCTAGCTTGTGTCATATACTATTAGCATGACTGACCTCACTACACGACACCACAGCTTGGCTGACCACAGCACATCATGACGAAGGTAGACTAGCCACAACACACTACAGCTGGACTCCGCACCACAGGTGGGTTAACCACGTCACAGCTGGACTAACCACACAATAATGCACAGAACACCTCCACCTAAAATGTAAAAATTAAAAATTAAGTAAACATGTTAAACTGGGGCAGAGAGAAATCGGAAGCCGTTCACTTGTGAGCGCGTGCATGTACACCAGCGTGTCTTGACCACCAGGGAACGAGTAGTTCAGTTAAGTAAACGATGAACCCGAGAAACACTCTTCCGTTCAAGCAAGATCTCAGCAAACACCGGAGCTATAGCTCAGCTTAGTACATGTTCAGCTGAGTATAAGTACTTAGGGTTCTGTGAATTCTCGACAGACTTACAAACAACACACACACATGTATGGCAAACATACATGTGCGAGAACAGTGGGATAACATATACACCACTGATGAGTATAAGACGCCAGTAAGATATAACACAAGATCAGAATGTGTTGACACAGTGGTGACAACGACATAACAGCTGGCAGCTCTGACATACACATCAACAGTACATCACAACTGACTTCTGACATAAATATAAACGTCAGTACTTCGAACCTGGTTATTAGAATAATTTTCTTTCCAAAGTGCTCAGACTCACTGTACATTTGAGATATTTAGTTCATAGGTACCTTAGTGGCTGATTCTGGAGCTGCCAGTGATTGATGAAAGCTAACTTGAGTGAGGTGTAATGCATTAAGGACCTGATCTACCTCGAGAAGTTCCTCGGTTCTAGTTGGATATTCACGAGAGAATGACGCTTCTGCGCCACACTTGATTCTAAACGATTTCTGGCACAGGTGTAGGCCTAGGTACAAATGGCAACGCTGTGATGAGCCTTAGAGAGACCGCTAGACACCGGTTTCTTAAGCTGGAACCAGAAAAGGGCACATGTTAACCAAAAGACTTCGACACCAATGCAACCCAAGGGGTTGTATCTCCCATATATTATTACAATATGGGGTTATATCAAGCCTGACGAGGCTAATGCTATAACATCTAAAATAATGACTGATATATAAATATAATAACGCCCAGTTCTCCAGAAAACTGCTGATTGACGATAAACGACAAAGAGAACACATTTAAAAGTCAATCGTCATATGAAGGGTTTATTACGTATTTATAGTTAATTTGCATGTGCTTGCATATGATCTCATCACTATCCCACACACCTGCAGCTGGACTAACCACACCGTTTCTCCCGGCAGTCGTTCTTCGGGCGGACGTACAACAACTTGTCGCAGGTGCACGAGTGCAAGAACGGCGGTCAGTGTGTGATCAACAAACAGAACAGGACCTCGTGCAAGGCCTGCAGGCTGCGCAAGTGTCTCATGGTCGGCATGTCCAAGACTGGCAGCAGGTAAGAGACAGGGAGATAGCAACGGAGGGTGAGAGGGAGTCACAGTCCTAGGGAGAGAGGGCAGTAGGGCATAAGAGTTAGGTTAGGTGCAAGAAAGGGGTTGATGGTAGGGATAGAAAGACGTAGGATGGGGTGGGATAGGTGATGGTTTGTAGTGATGTTAGATGCAGGGTGAAAGAGAGTGTGGATTTAGGGAAAGAGTGAGACAAGGAAGGAAGGAGGGGAGTAAAGAGAACAGAGGAAGGGAGGGAGGGGTCGGCTGGTAGAGAAGGTATGGTAAGGGAGAGAGTTAGAGGGAAAAGGGAGAAACTGGTGAGAAAGACAATGATAGTGATAGAGAAGAAGGAGAGGATTAAGTACAATATTAGAATGAGAGGTAATGTTAGCAAAATAAAAAATGACCCCAAGGAGACTGATAAGTTATATAAATCAAAGATAACTACTTGTGCACCAGTTGAAATCACTGGCGTGCGTCGCCTCCCTCTCTCACACACAGATACGGCCGACGCTCTAACTGGTTCAAGATCCACTGCCTCCTCCAGGAACAGGCTGCCTACAATGGCCAAACAGCGGCCATTCGCACGCCTATCACTCCCACGCTCCAGGACGGGTCGTTGCCCTTCGTATCTGCACATCTTCGGGAAGCCATGGCTCGGGAGGGGCCGGTGAGGGCCCCGCCTCCTCTGCCGGGACCTGAGCTCCACGGGCCCCAAGACATTCAGACCTCCCTCTCCTCCCTCACCACAGCCTCCCAGCTTAATGCAGTGAGTTTTAAGTTCAGACAAACCCCTAAACCATGTGACAATTTTTCCCCCTCTAACGAAACCATTTTACAATTTTCCCCTCTAACTACTTTGTTTGCTCGCTTGCCCTGTAGCTGTACCTATAACCACATAAACTACTGGCTACCATTAATTCTCATTTAACAGCTAGTCACTTGTTGCTGTCATTGTTTTCTAATGGCTTTATCATGCCACAAGAAGGTACTTGAAGACTATAAGATCCCTTTGAAGTTGGAGTGCAGTAGATCAGCTATGTCACATTGCCGGGACTCTCAAGGCATTATATTTGTGAGCAGCGGTATAGAAGTGATGCCTGTGGTGTTTGGCTGCTTACAGGAGACCCTTGAGGATTATATATAAATTATTTACCGACATTTGACTTCCATTAATAATAAATAATATTTTAAATTATAAATCCTTAGGTTTCTTAAACTGAAGATACAAAGAAAGGTTTGCATAGTCCACTTTGGAACATGGAATATTGTTTTGTGGCGATATAAATCTTTCTAGTGCTATGTGTTCAACTAAAGAGTTTATTATAGAACTATAAATATACTTGTGTATATATAAATACTTATACAATATACAAATACAATATACATGCATAAACAATATACACTGTGATTTGAATTCTTGAGGGACAACAAATTTTATATATTGAATAAATACACATAAAAATATCATTGAAATGTTGCCAACTTCACAAAAATACAAATACTTTCTTTGTCATTTATTCAGAGAGGAATTTAGAGTACGTTTATAATTAAATTGGACATAACAGTAAATTTATTTTCCTGTGTCTTCAGCAGGTTGAACGGCGTCTTCAAGAAGAAGCCTTGAATGCCCTTGCTCGAGGGACTGGTCCTCCCCTTCAGAGCCAAGATCTGGAGGCGCATCACAGAGACCAGGTCTTCGAGGTCTTCAGACGATCGCAAAATTTTGAAAACCTTCGTAGAACACACGACTACGACTCTTTGAGAAGAAATGTGGATCTGGACCCCCTTCGGAGGAACCTGGACATCGAGACTCTAGACAACCTTCGTCAAGTGGCACCTGAGGTCGAATCACGGCTCGGCCCACTTGCCGTCCTCGAGTGGGAGAGGAGACTACGAGAAGTTTCGAGGCGCAACGAGGCCGATGTTGCTCTCGGCAGGAAAGATCAGATGACAATCGACTTAAAAAATGAACGTCGAACTCAAGATTCTTCGAGCGTTGCGAAGGCCGTTGACAGGAGTGAGCAGGACGTTGTTTCCACAGTTAACGATGAGCCCATCAAAATCGAATATGAATCGACAAAAGTTTCTTTACCGAATCGCGAAGATTTGGAAAAGTCTCGACGAGCGTCACCGAAATTCACTGACAGAAAATCCGCGGGAATGATAATGTCAGAGGAGGAAAGATTATCCTTTTTAAAAGCGGTCAACAGCCACGCTTCCCTGTACAATCGAGACCACTCCCCTGCCTCCCACTCGGTGAGAGCGCCTCCGAGTGCCGACCTTCTGTACAGTTCTCTTAACAATAATATTTTCCCGTTCCCGCCATATCCTCCGTTGTGGCCCTCCATGCTGCCTTTTCCACCCCTGGCCAAGTTTTACCCTTCTTTCACCAGCTCTGTTCCTGCCATTGATGGTTTCAAGACTTCGGTGTTTGGACCCTCCGAAGCAACGAGTTCAAGACCACCGCATCGCCTGACGAAGGACGAGACGGTGACGAAGAAGAGATTCCTGGACGCTGTTCTCCAGGTTCAGAGGCAGAGTGTGAGCCCAATAGAGCCTCCAACCTCCACCAGAGGAGCGTCTCAGCTGCATCGGAACAGTGCGCCTCCTCCAGCGTCTCCCTCTGTCACTAGCAGCAACTCCACTACATCTCACGATCAACCAATGGATCTTACTGTCCGGAGAAAGAGGAAGATGGACAAGAGCGAGATCATATATAACCCAGGAGACGACATAGATGCCGATGATGCCGTAGATAGCGAAGACGATAAAGTGGACGAGAAGTGGCTAAAAAGAGAGGAAGAAATAGTGGAAGAGGAAGAAGAGGAAGAGGACGCAAAACCAGAGGAGTTCCTAGATTCAGAAACAGAAACCAAGACTGAAATACCTCTTAAGCTTATCAAACTGGACTCTCCTGGTGAAACTCTCGTGGTTTAACATAGTGTGGAAGCCAGTTATAACTAATCTCAAACGTGAAACTCATCAACATAATTACAAGTCAGCAAACTTGACTACAGCAGTTGAGTGTGTCGATACCAGCAGCATTACAGCGAATCACTCAGAGTGCTACAAAGTGCTGTAATGGCCTTAACTTAACCTACAGCCCGACGACTGCAGAGAAGACATCCACACTGTGAAGAGAGAGAAAGAGAGTGAGAGAGAGATATGAACACAAGACACAGTTCTTGGGGTTTAGAACCCAAAATGAACTTCGATATGCAGAATGAGAGGTTTAGACGAAGAGGCGGAGAGGCTCTGAATACTTTGAAAAGCAGAAAGATAACTAACCTGCTATCAAGGGTTCTCAAGCAGTGTGGAGCCAGACCACAGCTGATGTAACTCCAGAGTGGGCACAAGCTTTACGCCTTCAACCTAAACCAACACCGGTTATGTAGAACTGAATACATCACCACCGGCTATATGAAACTGACTACAACACCACCACCAGTAATGTAGTGGTGAACCACGACCAGGGTTCACCAAGCATTTACACAACCACTTACGAAACCGCTACATCTCTCCTCGATCATGGCAGTTTTGTCTACATATTTATTAAACAGTTTACGAGCTTCCATACTTCACAACCCAAGGTTGTTATTGTTATAACCAACCTCGTAGTGCTGCGGCGCTCAAAAGTGGTTTAATAAAGGCAAAGATGCTTCATAAAGCCTGGCCCTGGAATCTACTGTGAATGTGTGTTTCTGACTGAATTTGTGTAAACAAGATACTTCAATTGCCATTATTACTATTATTTTTAATATTATTATTATTATCAGTTTTCAACTGTGTTGTAAATAGTGGCTGTCAATTATTATGGATTTATAGACTATTGAAAGTGTCAGCAGTTGACTCACGTTTCTCGCCGATAGATGGCGATCGACTCATAATCATTTGTCCCTAACTATAGATCACACACACACAATATATATATATATATATATATATATATATATATATATATATATATATATATATATATATATATATATATATATATATATATCACAGGGGATGCATTGTGATTATATATATTTATCTGGTTTCCAGGTGTTAAATTAATTAATAGGCTCAGTCATCTGAATATTAAAATATTTAGTGCATAGTTAAGTATAGTTTATCTCCTGAACGTGAATACGTTTTAGTGACAAAATGTAATGGAAAATAGTGACCATTAAATGGTTTTGAAACAAATATAATTGAGCAAAATCTGTGGGCCCAGATTTTCTTCACGTAGTGAAATAAATTCATTATAATTAGTTGAATTTTTGTCATTGCTGACGCTATTTAAGTCCTCCTAAATATTTATAAAGCTAAGGCTTTAATTGTTTAAATTGGAATACTTAAATGAATGTAATGGTGTTAATAGAACGAAGAATATTTTGTAGACTTAAGTGCCTTTATTCTCAGTGGAAACAAAGTAAAAATGTTGCACTAAATTAATGTATAAATGAACATTTTAAATGTGGATACGATGAGGCGCTTAATGCCCTCATATCCAGAAATTGTCTATGTACTAAAAAAAAAAACAAAAAAGGCCCCGATGATTTCGGGAAAAAATAACGAAAGTTCATGTAAATCGAAATGGCCTTTAACACTCAGTTGGACAGGCTCTAAGTCATTACAGTGCCATAAGAATCAGGAGAAATCTCTTAGAGAGATGAACACAAGGAGAGAGGCACAGAGTTCCTGGTTCAATGCCTTGTTCAGTGCCTTTTGCTTCATGCTCTAGCTTGCCTCTTATTCCGCTTTAATTAAAACAGAAGGATATGTTTAAAACATTTCATACGTGTTTTCTTTCAATATAAATTATTTAAAACATTTGTGGAAAGTTTTAAATGAATACAAATTAATAATGTGTCCCCACCTAAGGGGTAACATTAATGGAGGAATCTAGCACTATTCAGTGTGGCGTCGGTCGTCAGTGGTGGCGTCGGTCGTCAGTGGTGGCGACGGTCGTCAGTGGAGGCGTCGGTCGTCAGTGGAGGCGTCGGTCGTCAGTGGAGGCGTCGGTCGTCAGTGGTGGCGTCGGTCGTCAGTGGTGGCGTCGGTCGTCAGTGGTGGCGTCGGTCGTCAGTGGAGGCGTCGGTCGTCAGTGGAGGCGTCGGTCGTCAGTGGAGGCGTCGGTCGTCAGTGGAGGCGTCGGTCGTCAGTGGTGGCGTCGGTCGTCAGTGGTGGCGTCGGTCGTCAGTGGTGGCGTCGGTCGTGAGTGGAGGCGTCGATCATCAGTGAAGGCGTCGATCACCAGTAGAGGCGTCGATCACCAGTAGAGGCGTCGATCACCAGTAGGGGCGTCGATCACCAGTAGAGGCGTCGATCACCAGTAGGGGCGTCGATCACCAGTAGAGGCGTCGATCACCAGTAGAGGCGTTGTGTCTTGTCAGCCATTAGAATAACAATACTTACGTACACGCACAAGAAGCAAACACACACACACACACACACACACACACACACACACACACACACACACACACACACACACACACACACACACACACACACACACACGACACACACATACACACGACACACACACACACGACACACACACACGACACACACACACACACACACACACACACACACACACACACACACACACACACACACACACACACACACACACACACACGACACACACACACGACACACGACACATTCGTGCAAGCGCCCTCTGACAGGTCGACATGACCACTAATCCGGATTCCTATGTTGCATAGAACGAGCGAAAAAAATCCACTTATCAAGAGGATTAAACGTGACAATCATGACGGATTAAAACATGTCATTAATTATTGGTCATCAGTGAGTTTGAACTTGACAATCTTGACAATTTTATACAGGACGATCATCGTAGTGATTAATATTAGTTATAATTATATTAATCACAATAATCATATTTAAATAATTAATTATTTAAATCATTACGGCCCTGAGCATGAACAGTCATGTTTGGATAGAACATGAAAAGTCATGCATCTCCACCGTGCCGACAAGCACAGAGCCTCTACAGTACCGACGACAAGCACAGCGCCTCTACAGAACCGACGACAAGCACAGCGCCTCTACAGTACCGACGACAAGCACAGAGCCTCTACAGTACCGACGACAAGCACAGCGCCTCTACAGTACCGACGACAAGCACAGCGCCTCTACAGTACCGGCGACAAGCACAGCGCCTCTACAGTACCGACGACAAGCACAGCGCCTCTATAGTACCGGCGACAAGCACAGCGCCTCTATAGTACCGACGACAAGATCAGCGCCTCTATAGTACCGACGACAAGATCAGCGCCTCTATAGTACCGACGACAAGCACAGCGCCTCTACAGTACTGACAAGCATAGCGCCTCTACAGTATCGACGACAAGCACAGCGCCTCTACAGTACCGACGACAAGCACAGCGCCTCTATAGTACCGGCGACAAGCACAGCGCCTCTACAGTACCGACGACAAGCACAGCGCTCTCTACAGTACCGACGACAAGCACAGCGCCTCTACAGTACCGACGACAAGCACAGCGCCTCTACAGTACTGACAAGCACAGCGCCTCTACAGTACTGACAAGCATAGCGCCTCTACAGTACCGATGACAAGCACAGCGCCTCTACAGTACCAACGACAAGCACAGCGACTCTACAGTACCAACGACAAGCACAGCGCCTCTACAGTACTGACAAGCACAGCGCCTCTACAGTACCGACGACAAGCACAGTGCCTTTACAGCACCGACGACAAGCACAGCGCCTCTATAGTACCGGCGACAAGCACAGCGCCTCTACAGTACTGACAAGCACAGCGCCTCTACAGTACTGACAAGCACAGCGCCTCTACAGTACTGACAAGCATAGCGCCTCTACAGTACCGATGACAAGCACAGCGCCTCTACAGTACCAACGACAAGCACAGCGACTCTACAGTACCAACGACAAGCACAGCGCCTCTACAGTACTGACAAGCACAGCGCCTCTACAGTACCGACGACAAGCACAGCGCCTCTACAGTACCAACGACAAGTACAGCGCCTCCACCGTACCGACGACAAGAACAGCGCCTCTACAGTACCAACGACAAGCACAGCGCCTCCATCATACTGATGACAAGCACAACGCCTCCACCTTGACTAAAAGCACAGCGCCTTCATCGTGACGACAAGCACAGCGCCTCCACCGTCACGACAAGCACAGCGCCTCCACCGTGACGACAAGCACATCACCTCCATCGTGACGACAAGCACAGCGCCTCCATCGTGACGACAAGCACATCACCTCCATAGTGACGACAAGCACAGCGCCTCCATCGTGACAAGCACAGTGCCTCCAACGTGACAAGCACAGCGCCTCCATCGTGACGACAAGCACAGCGCCTCCATCGTGACGACAAGCACAGCGCCTCCATCGTGACGACAAGCACAGCGCCTCCAGCGTGACGACAAGCACAGCGCCTCCATCGTGACGACAAGCACAGCGCCTCCACCGTGACGACTAGCACAGCGCCTCCACCGTCACGACAAGCATGGCGCCTCCACCGTGACGACAAGCACATCGCCTCCACCGTGACGACAAGCACAGCGCCTCTGTCTTGACGACAAGCACAGCGCCTCCACTTTGAAGACAAGCACAGCGCCTCCACTGTCACGACAAGCACAGCACCTCCACCGTGAGGACAAGAACAGCGCCTCCACCGTCACGACAAGCACAGCGCCTCCACCGTGACAAGCACAGCGCCTCCACAGTGTCCAAACTTTCTCTCGCTTACCATAACGCAGCCCGCTAGTGCTTGTGCTAGGTTTGTATTCGTGGATAAATGTACAAATTCTTTGTTATTTTCCCTCCATTTCATCTTTTAATGAGAATTTTTTATTATTTTTTTAATATATATAACATATGAAGTAGATTTTTACTGTATCATTTAATATATATATATATATATATATATATATATATATATATATATATATATATATATATATATCATATCTATGTATAAACATGCATATATATATATATATATATATATATATATATATATATATATATATATATATATATTATATATTATATATATTATATATAAATATTTATGTTTATTATGTATATATATATATATATATATATATATATATATATATATATATATATATATATATATATATATATATATATATATATATATATACATAATATATATATATATATATATATATATATATATATATATATATATATATATATATATATATATATATATATATATACATAAATATATATATAAATATATATATAAATATATATTATATATATATATATATATATATATATATAAAATATATATAATATATATATATAATATATATATATATATATATATATATATATATATATATATATATATATATATATATATATATATATGTCGTACCTAATAGCCAGAACTCACTTTTCAGCCTACTATTCAAGGCCCGATTTGCCTAATAAGCCAAGTTTTCCTGAATTAATATATTTACTATAATTTTTTTCTTATGAAATGATAAAGCAACCCTTTTCTCTATGTATGAGGTCAATTTTTTTTTATTGGAGTTAAAATTAACGTAGATATATGACCGAACCTAACCAACCCTACCTAACCTAACCTAACCTATATTTATAGGTAAGGTTAGGTTAGGTAGCCAAAAAAAGCTAGGTTAGGTTAGGTTAGGTAGGTTAGGTAGACGAAAAAACATTAATTCATGAAAACTTGGCTTATTAGGCAAATCGGGCCTTGAATAGTAGGCTGAGAAGTGCGTTCTGGCTATTAGGTACGACATATATATATATATATATATATATATATATATGATGTAGATGCCTGATGTAGTGTGTCTTTGCTGTATTTTTCATTTGTTTTTTTGGTTAGATAAATAAAAAAATACAACTCACAACAGAAGAATACTT